CGACTGAGGCGAGCAGCTCCCGCCGTAAAGCAACGCCATCTCCGCCCATGCCGTCATAAAAGGCCGTGCCCTCTCGCCACGCTAATGCAAAGCAACGCCGGGGTTAAGGCGCATGCGTAGCAGCTACTGCTGCTCTGGCTCCTGACACGGGCAAACCAGCCCTTCTAGTTATGGCTGATCACTCTGCTGGAGAAGCACGGTGTGGCCCGCCTAGAACATCCCTGCTAGACCGCAGAGCCCAGCGAGGCAGCACCATCCCATCTAAACCCCATCTAGAACCCGCGGTGCAGGCCTTTTAGAACATAGGCAGCTGGGGGCTGCAGCGTCTCATCCAGAAACCCACAGTGCAGGCCTTCTAGAACATCCCCACTAGAATGCAAGCTGGTGGGGCGGAAAACATCTAAACTAGAACCCACAGTGTGGGCCTTCCAGAACACCCCTGCTAGCATGCAGACTGGTGTGGAGGTGGAGCCGACAGCCTGAGCCCCTCCAGACTAGCTCCACCCCCAACCCCGCTCCACCTCCAAAGAAAGGTCACCAAAATAGAAGTTTGCTCAGGGCACCGTTTCCCCCAAGGCCAACTCCGGGACTGAAACAACATTAGAGGGCTTGATTATTCAGTAGCTGAAGAGCTGCACTAAATTGCAGACTAATCAGAACACGAAGATCAGCCAAAAAACCCCTAATTTATAATTTAACATGCAGGCAAGGACAGGGCAGAGGGCTCTAATCACCCCAAAGTTTACCTTAGCCACCCCTCTCAGCGCAAAGGTCAAATGTTTGGCAGAAGGAAGGGTGGCATGGTATGGCGTTGCCACCCTTACTTCTTCAGTTCTGCGCTGCTGCTGGTGGCAATACCTTCAGAGCTGGGCACCTGGCCAGAGGCCGCCATTCTCCAGTGCCCAGCTCTGAAGGCAGAGCCTGCTGTCAGTAGCAGCCCAGAAGTAAGGGTGCCAATGGGGTACTAAGTCTGCTGTGAAAAATGATACTTGTACATTTGTTAATATTACATTTTCCCCCATTGCCTTCCTTACTTCTTAGCTGCTCCTGGCCCCTTCAGAGTTGGTAGGCTGTGAAAAGTGATCTTAACCAACCTACGAATACAGCAGCAGCACAGAAGTAAGGTTTGCAGTGGAGAGCTAAGTCTGCTGTGAAAAGTGACATTGACGAAGTTTCTTCACGCACCCACACACCAGTATTAGACAGTGACTTTTAAAACTTAACTTTTCTGCTTCTAACAACAATTCAATAAAAATAGGTTTTCGTCTTAATCTTCAAACGGCGAGAAAGGGTAAATCCATTTTCAACAATGGGGTTATACATTTAGCACTTAAAATAGTGTTAAATATAAAAAATGTTTTAAATTAATAAGGGGGGGTCGCCCTCAGAGGCTCGCTGGGTGAAAGGGGTCGCCTACACACAAAAATTGAGAACCACTGGTCTAGAACATTGTCACAAAAACATAGAGAGCAGCTGAACTACAGCATCTCAGTAGATTTTCTCCAGCCTCTAGACCCCAACCTGTCATAAGACACTCTTTGGTGGGGAGGCTGCTGCCCCACAAGTTTGATAACATTAGGGAGCACATACAGGCCCTGCATCACCCACTGGCGTCAGAGGAAACCTCTTTGGTCTGGACTCCCTGCCCTTCTTTGTTGTGTGCCATTGCGGCACCACTTGCTCCGTCTGATTTCCAGGGAAAGCTAGTCTCTCACCCCACAAAGAGGCAGGTGGTTCTGATTGTGTCTGAAGCAGCACATGGATTTGTCATAACTGACTTCAGTGGGTGCAAGATTAGGTCCGTGGCAGGTTTACAGTTACACAACCGACGCAGAGATGCTGGAGATGAAAAAGACATATTAGGTGCCATCAAATGCCTGGTGGTCAGTGCAGGGATGTCCTTTACAGTCAACTTGCCAGTGTTTTATTCAAGTCCATTCTGACTCACTCATGCAATGAGGTTTCCTCCATTTCACCTGGGAGAATATTGCACAATCTAGATCTCACCATTCATACCGATTAGTTCCTGATATTCAGTTTAAAATTTCCCTGTCTTAAATTCTTTCCAGTCTGTCTAATTATTTCTTATTATTCTTATTGTTATTATTTATTGTAACATCTAGGAGCCTCAGCTGAAATTGGGGCTTCGTGTGCTAGCAGCTGTACAACAAGAAAGAGACAAGCCCTTTTTACTATGCTAAACAATTCCTCTCTATCTTAGGTATCTACAGCCTTCAGATTCTTGCATGAAGTCACATTGCTGCCTTCAGCTCCTCAGTGGTCCAACAGCTAATCTATCTACAGCTTTTAATCTTTCTTCATAAATCAGTCATGACTGAGTTCACCAAAGAAGACCTACACATTTTAAAGTTAATATACACTTTTATCTATTTACCAGATTGGGGGTTTAATAATACTAACTCAGCACTAGGTGGCAGCAAAGTATTTAAATTGGCAAGAGTAGCTCAAAGCCTGATTCCTCCATAAATATATTAACTGTACGGTTGAAGAGAAGGGGAAAACCTGGTGTAAAGGGGCAGGAGATTGGGAGAGAGGGACAAAGGATGCCTGGAAATTAGGACAGAGGAAGAGATAAAAGTATCAGAAGTATCTATGAAGGTAGGTGTGGTAAGGCAAGTGTTTCTTGGGGAGCCATCCTAGTACCCCTGGCTGTTCCCATGGTTTGGAGAAAGTATTTGTTGTTAGATGGGTACTAGGATGGTTCCCCAATATGCCAACCTCTTCATGGGCCACTTTGAAGAATAATTTTCTGGACAAATGCACCACTAAACCAATGATATACTTCAGATACATCAATGATATTTTCATCCTCGGGATAGACAACTTAAACTTCCTCATTGATTTTCCCCACAATGTCAACAACCATCACCCATCCTAAACTCTCCCTGGAACAGTCCCACACTAGCATCAACTTCCTGGACACCACAATCATCTTCAACAATGGAACCCCACAGACATAGGTGCTGACTTCTAATGGCGCCAGTGTGTGCTCGACCCCCCTCTGACCCTGGCCCTGCCCTGACTCCACCCCTGCCCCCTCCCACCTCCATTCCAACCCCTTCCCCAAAGTCCCCACCCCAACTCCGCCCCCTCCTTGCCTCTATTCGACTCCTTCCCCAAATCCCTGCCCAGCCCCTCCTCTTCTCCGGGTTTTTCCAGTCATCCGGGACCTCCCCCGATCACCATGAGTTTTCAAAGATAATGGCCAATGGCTCTGCAATCACATCCGCCAACTCCTTTAGCACCCTCGGATGCAGCGCATCCGGCCCCATGGACTTGTGCTCGTCCAGTTTTTCTAAATAGTCCCAAACCACTTCTTTCTCCAGAGAGGGCTGGTCAACTTCTCCCCATACTGTGCTGCCCAGCGGGAGCTGACCAGTCTGGGAGCTGACCTTGTTCATGAAGACAGAGGCAAAAAAATCATTGAGTACATTAGCTTTTTCCACATCCTCTGTTACTAGGTTGCCGCCCTCATTCAGTAAGGGACCCACACTTTCCTTGACTTTCTTCTTGTTGCTAACATACCTGAAGAAACCCTTCTTGTTACTCTTAACGTCTGTTGCTAGCTGCAACTCCAAGTGTGATTTGGCCTTCCTGATTTCATTCCTGCATGCCTGAGCAATATTTTTATACTCCTCCCTGGTCATTTGTCCAATCTTCCACTTCTTGTAAGCTTCTTTTTTGCATTTAAGGTCAGCAAGGATTTCACTGTTAAGCCAAGCTGGTCGCCTGCCATATTTACCGTTCTTTCTACACATCGGGATGGTTTTTTCCTGCAACCTCTGTTTCCCTACACAGACAGTGGTGCTACCACTCCAAAGTTGTGCTAGGCTAAGTAAGCATGGGCGTGGAGCAGAGCTTCACTGAGGAGTGGCCAAGGAATACTACATGAGCCCCAGATCCACTGTACTGCTGTCCCCTTCAAACATGCGTCTGTGGTGGGGAAAGCAGCAGGCAGGCAGGCATCTGAACGCAACCTGCCTTTTTCTCCCTGGTCATGCCTTGACCACTGGAGTAGCCATCCAGGGAAACCGCTGTCATGTACATGGCCATAGGCTCACACCATATCCTGCCCACTCAAGCTTCTCTTTTTCTGTGACATTCAGCTCAGTCATGCAGGGGATACCACTGGTTGTTCCCATCCAGAGCAACACATATCCTTGCGAATGGGGGAATGTGGTAGGGGAGCAGGAGGACAAAAACCAAGTAGATCCGCAAATAGAAAAAGAGAGAGAAATCCACAAAAGAAAAGACAATGAGAAAAAACAAGAGGAAACAGGACAGAAAGGAGAGATGGTGGCAGCTGTATATGGGCCTTTAGGAAGAAGGTGCTGCAGAAGGGCGAAAAGGACAGCCACTAGTGGGCATACCTCAAGGGCTTTAATTTTCCCCATGTCCACACCGGCTTATGCCCTTATTTGGAGCACTTTTTAGACTGCTCTCTTGCCTTAGACCAGGGGTTTTCAATCTAGGAGGCCGGGGTGGGGTGGGGAGGATGACCATCTGGCCCTTCCCATAATGCTAAATGGCAAAGAGAACCTAGTATGGAAAAGGTTGAGAACCCTGCTTAGACCAAATGCTCCAAATGTGACATATTCTTCATAGAGATATGATATGAGTATGGCATAATTATTATGTATTTTATTTAAGATGGGTCATGTGAGATATCATTGGAAAGGTTATGATTTACTGAATATGATTATCCTATTTGTATACATGTATCATTTTTGTATCTGAAGTTAGGAATATTGTCTTTACAGCTATTACAAATGTGTTTACACCTGGGGAACGCCCACTAGACAGAATGCAATCAGTCTAGGGGTATGTCTTCACTAGCAACGTTAAAGCGCTGTGTAGTCGCGGCACCAGCGCTGGGAGAAAGCCTTAAAAAACCCACCCCCACGAGGGGAGCATGGCTCCCAGTGCTTGTGCACTCTCTACACTGCCACTTTACAGCACTGAAACTTGGCGTGCTCAGGGGTGTGTTTTTTCACACCCGTGAGCAAGAAAGTTGCAGCGCTGTAAAGTGCAGTGTAGACAAGGCCTAGACTGCTGGCTGGAAAGGGCCATTAGGAAGAACAATAGGTCTTAGAAGATGCTAAACTTTCACTGGGAAAGCCTTCCTGGGGATGCTGCAAACAGACTCTGAGTTATAGCTGTAGGGTCATGTGATCAAGTCACCTGACACTGCACACCATGATAATATTAGTATTTTTCCACTGGCCGAGGGTGGGAATCACACTGGAAGACAATAGATTCCCACCATATATAAAGCCTATTTAAGGCAGGGGAGTGACAAAATCAGGTTGGTTCTTCATTGAATCCCCACCCAAGATGACTGCTGTTAACATAACTCAAATGTGAAGAATCCCATAGAGACTTGGGTCCAAGCAGCCTGAAAGAAGATACAGAGTCAAGAGTGGGAAAAGGAGATGAGCTAATTACTAGTTCACTGATTTGGAGTTAGAAATATACATAGCACATTACAAAACACAGCTAGAGACAAAGAACCAGATCATGGGAATTACCATGCTGGACCAGACAAGTCGTCCCTCTAGTCTGGTATCCTGGCTCAGACAGTGTCCAGTGTCAGATGTTTCATAGGAAGGTACAAGAAATCTTGCAGTGAACAATTACAGAATAACCTTGCTCACAAAGGAAGCCTATTCTAAACCATCATCAGTTAGTAGCTGGCATGTGCCCTGAAGCATGAGACTTGACTTTCTTTCTATCTAAAGTTACTGTGTCTAATCCTGTTTTGAATCCTAATAAGCTCTTGACCTCAATGATATATTGTGGCAAAGAGTTCCATAGGTTAATTACATGTTGTGTAAAATATCAGTCTTAAAATTGCTGCCTTTCAGTTTTGCTGACTTCTCTCTTGTTCTTGTATCATGAGCAAGGTAAGCATGGGTGCCCGATTCACCTTCTCTGTGCCAATCATATTGGTATCAGCGCCACATGGAAAATCTCATGCAACTCTTTTAGCCAAAGTTTGGGGTCTGTTTCTGCTCTCACGCTGGTGTAAACCAGGAGTCACACCACTGAAGTCATGGAGTCAAACCTTGGAGAGGGTCTGTCTTCAGGGCAGAGTTAACCTGAGCTCCTAACTGGCTTTTAGCCCTAACTCACCTTCCCATCCAGGCACAAACCTCTCCCCGGAGTTCAGGGGAGTTTCAACCCAGGCTAGCAGGCACAGCTGGGGGATAAGTAAGATCCTGGGCTCCACATTCACTCAGGCTGTAACCACTCACTTTGCAGTGAGGACACAGTCTAAGGGCTTGTCTACATTACCCGCTGGATCGAGGGGCAGCGATCAATCCAGTGGGGGTCAATTTATCGTGTCTAGTCTAGATACGATAAATCGACCGCCAAGAGCTCTCCCGGCGACTCCGGTGCTCCACCAGAGCGAGAGGCACAGGCGGAGTCGACGGGAGAGCGTCAGCTGTCAACTTACCACAGTGAAGACGCCGCGGTGAGTAGATCTAAGTATGTTGACTTCAGCTATGTTATTCACGTAGCTGAAGTTGTGTAACTTAGACCGATCCCCTCCCCTAGTGTAGACCAGGCCTAAATCACTCCAGTGCTGGTAATCCTGCGGTGCCTTCCCACAATCCCCGCTGCGCCCAGAAAGACAGACAAATTCTCCCACAATTCACTGGGAAAGAATCAGCGTAGCTCAGCATACTGCAGCACACAGGATTATGGGATATGCCCCCAAAGTCCTAATGACACACACATGGGAGTTCAGCACCAGTGAGGACACAGTAAGACAGTAAGGCTTTGCAGTGTGGCGGCTTGCACCTGGGTTAGACTAACCCGGGTGCCAATTGCCCAAGTTAACTCTGCAGTGAAGACAAACACTGAGTGAAAGCAGAATCAGGCATCAGCATCCAAAGCAGCAGAGACAAGAAAACCTACTGAAAAAAGGCAAGATAGCAAACAAGATACTGATTCAAATTCTGATCTCACCCTAGTTTTGCATAGGGTGACCAGACAGCAAGTGTAAAAAATCAGGACGGGGGTGGGAGGTAATAGGAGCCTATATAAGAAAAAGACCCAAAAATCAGGACTGTCCCTATAAAATCGGGACATCTGGTCACCCTAGTTTTGCATGACTTATTTGTATTATGGTAGCACCTGGAGATCCCAACCATAGTGAGGGCCCACTCTGCTATGTGCTGTACATATACATACTAAAAGGTAGTCCCTGCCCCAAAAACCTTCAGTGTAAATTGGCTGCAATGCAGTTAGCCCAGAGCTATACTAGTAAATCTCCCGCAGGGTCTCCATGCCCGTTTCTCCGCATTGTATAGTGAGTTCAATGAGGGTCGGGGGGGGGGGAAGTCTCTTATTGTGACAAGTGATATAAAAAAATGGAGCTGGATCCTTGAGACTTTGAGCAAGTCAGTAACACCCGTTCTTCACGGTAACTCAGGGGACGTGATCGGCGTCTTCTGAAAGCTGGGCAGATGAGCCGGTTTGACTGGGATGAATTGCACTGAAACGTCACTCCCTCACTCTGCGTCAGATCCATGGTCCGATGGAGGAATTTGCCAGGGCTGAGCTTCAAACAGTGGGGATGCTAGAATGGATACAGAGAAAATCCTGAGACTAGCAGCTGCTATTGATTGTTTTAGTCACTGAATGGACGTGTAGATTACTTCTAAACTGCAAAATCAGTACCTTGTTTTGTAGACTTTGGTCCTGTTACAAATATCCCTAATTCTACTGCCTGCACTTCCAGCATCATGGGAATATGGCAAACTACTCTCATCTGGAGAACTGAGTCCAGTGTTAGTCAGCTCACCTTAAGAAAAGCACAGAGGAGATTGCGGAGATCCAGAAGAGGTCCCTGAAGATGAGAACGGTAAAGAAGAACTTGGCTGTCTCTCTTTTACAAGGGGTTCTGTAGTTTTGCCCAGCAATCAACCTAAATTACACTTAATACAGCTCATCATTTCTTGTGAAATCCTTAGAGTTTAGTGAGGATAATTCATCTGTCTCCTTTACAAGATGCCTGTAGGTGTTTGGAGACAGTAGTTCCCCCCTTCCCCTTTCCTCTCAGCTTATTTTCTAAGAGTCTTCTCTGTGTGGATCAACTCTGCTTTGACTCCCATTTTCCTGTGTCCTTTTTTGAACTGCAGTACTCAAGACTGAGTGCAGTATTGCCCCAGGAGCCAGAATGGTGTCAAACGGAGCAGAATAATTGCCACATTTGATGGACGTGTGATATGCTAATTAATTAATACAGTTGAAGGCCCCGATCCTGCAATGAGCTTCTCATGTATGGACTGCAGACCAATGCAGAGCCTCATTGGGGCTCTGTCCATGTGACCTCACTGTTAGATAAGGGCCCTATTTTATATATAGGCACTGTATTGTTGATTTATATGCAGTGTATACCTACCTCTATAACTCTTTGACTGCAGTCTGGGGTGCCCCTCCTCCAGTTCATATAGATGCATTTGCATATTCCTTCCTACGTGCCCCACTTCTCATTTGTCTCGATTCCACCCACTTCTCCAGTGTATCAAGACTGGATTGCATTTAAATCCTCCCCCCTCACAAAGCAAGGGAGTTATGATCACACCAAGTTCTGGATCATCACCCTTGGCTCCTAGTCACAAAGCAAGGCTCTGAATGGTATGGAGCTCAGAAGGGATCCCCACAGGACTCCACTCCATACCCTCCTCCCCTAGGGAATCATTAATAAACGCTGTCAATCCACTTCCATTTACTGCACCTGCCGTTTCTCTTTGAAAATGCTACATGGCGCCATATCAGATGCCTTCTGCTGTGCCCGCTCTGGTTTCTTTATCCACTGAACTGGTTATTCTCTTAAAAAAACATAAGGGTCAAATCCTGCAATCCTTAATCAATTTGGCTCCCCAACTCCAAACTCAGAGAACTGTAGTCTCTCTGATAGCTTAAGAACGAGATGGAACAGCTTACTAACATGGAGAACTTCTGCTCATCCTTGCAAAGGCCTTCTTCCCTCTTTCACTCAGCTTCGGTACTGGAGCTCGAACAGGGGTTGGTCGTATCCCAGCATTCCACTGGGCACTTTGAGCTAGGATCTTAGCTGTTGCTTTGGTAACAGGGTACCCTGTTGATTGGTGAGTAGCCCAACTTGGGCGAACTGGTCCTTTTGGGCTAGAGCCAAGGTCTGCAGATAGGGACAGCTGGGAAGAGAAAAAAAGAAAGATCATGTTCTCCTAACAGCCACAAAGGGGATAAAAATGTCTGAGCCCTTAGAAAACTATCTAGTATCCTTGGTTTTTAAATGACATACAATTATAGTTTTGTTCTGCAGCAGTGACCTACCCTCTGTTATTACAATTCCACAGATCTGTGTAGTAAGCTACATAAATAAGAGCACTTCATATATTTATGGGGCTAGTTGTGGAGTGGAAAAAATTCCAGCCTTTCATGAATGACAAAGGAAGCCAATTAGAAACAGCCACAAAAGGGGGCTTGCCCACATTAATTGAGTCTCCACAACAGCTCACACTTTAAGGGCCGAATTCTGTCTTTAGACACATGTGCACGGCTCCTATTGAAATCAGTGGGCAACCATCCAAGGGCAGAACTTGGGCTGTAGTGAAACAGACTGATCTCCTTTATGGAATTAATGTATTCATTTAAATTATGAAGGATTTCAGCTGGCAAGAAGTTAGCTGTTTATAGTTCAACCTATGCAGTGAGCAGCAGTTTGCATTAGCACTAATACTACTTTGCACTTCTACAGCCCCTTTCAGCTCAGAATCACAAGGCCCTTTCAATCTCACAGCACTCTGTGCAATACGCACGGTATAGACTGATCTTTTCCAACAACAAGGAAGTGCAACCATCTCTTGGGTGCCCTAGCAAAGCAGAGCAACTTGGCCCCATAGCTGAGGAGAGGAAGTGAAGAGAACAGGGTGGAACTGAATCTGCCGGGTGGGATTTAATAATAAACACTCATAATCACCAGCATGGAATTTACCTCGACTAGAATTTGGCCAAGATTCCGGGGCTAGAGCACCTAGTCTTATCAAAAGAGCCGTGGAAGCTTTAACTACCACAAGTGGCCAGGACTCGTGGTTTATGTCTCATCCAGAAGAAGGCAGCTGTAGTCTCTTTGCAGCAGATGGATGCATTCGCTCAGACCTGACTCAGAGGGAACTGCACCAGTTACTGAGTCCCCAGCACCACTTCTTGCAGGATTCTTTGGCGGTCTCCTTTCCAAGTGCTGACCAGGCCCAACTTTGCTTCTTTCGTGAGGTCTGAGGCACCGTAGTGCAAAGGTAGATCAGGCACAGAATTTATACACAATGGTCAATTTTTATCTTTTTATTTTACGAGTCAATGTCTCGGATTAATTAGAAGTAGACAAATATATTCCTACCATTACAGTGATTGTTTAGTCTTTGAAAGAAATCCCATAATGTTTCAAAAGCAGCTCGTGAGAAGCAGCCTGCTAGCAATCCAGCCCTTGTTAAACTAATCCAAATCATTTGATTCTCCCTTGTTTAGAATACTGAAAAACCATTAGTATAATAAAACATTTGCTTAGAAATGCATTATGAAGCAATGATGGCCGACGATGTTATTATATGCAGACTATTGTCAAGAATCAAACTGTTGTACAGAAAATTTAACACGGTTTTTGCATTTTCCTGTGGTTACTTGATATGACTGCGGTGGATGTTGTATAATGCTTAGTGCTTAATGCTAAGTTAAAAATAAGCAGACCAATGATTGCCAAACATCAACCCAAAGAGAAGCCAGAAAGTATGCAACAGCTTACGATGTCCTTGTGAGTGATTGAGCATGACAATGTAAACAAGGACATGGCAGGTACAGTAGGTTTTTCTTCCAGTAGAGAAGGAAAAACACAAAGGCAGGTAAGCAGAGGCTGTTGCAATGAGCTGAGAGTCCCTTGTTTTTGCACTCCTGTGTTCTGGGTGATTCAGCCGCGGAGTGCTTGGGGATAGGAAGGCAAAGCGTGTTACACCACAAAGCTAGGCTGTGCTTTTTCAAGAAGAGTGAAATGTACAAACAAAGGAGTTTGATTCTGCAAGCATTACCCAGAGTAATTTTTGCTCCCATGACTGGTCCCAGGAAATTCAATGTTACTACTTGTGCAAATAAGTAATACACAAATTATGAGTTGCAGAACTGAGGCTATATCAGGGCCACCAAGAGCGGGTTCAGGCCTGGGTGAAAAAAAAATTTCGGGCCTCCCAGCAAGGGTAGACCAGCTAAACAGGGCTGACGAGGGGGGGGGAAGCCGGGGAAGCCAGGCCCGGAATTTTTTCGGGCCCCCCAGCAAGGGTGGACTGGCTAAACAGGACCAACAAGGGGGGGGGGGGAGCCGGGCCCCAGGCCCCCTTCCAGACCACCGGGCCCTGGTAATTTGTACTGGCTTCCCTCCACCTCCCCCCGTCGGCCCTGGCTATATTAGTTGGCTAGAACTGAGATTTGCCACTGCCCGAGGCCTCTGCAGTGGCAGAAAGCTGGACATGTGGGATATGCACATCTGACCCTAAAAGATGTCCCTTCCTCAAGTCACCAGCTCCCTGCCAATATGCGTGGGGGAAATTCATTCCTGACCCCAAATACTGTGATCTTATCACCTTAGAATACAGGCAACAGTCACTCAAGAACATTTGTGGGAGTGGAGCAGCCACTCACACAGAACAGAATCTAAAGCATGAAAGGGGAAAAAACCAGCCATGATTGCTGAGGCTATAATATTTCTAACGTTTTTGGCATGAGACTGATTATTCTGCTGAACAGCTGCAAAAACCTTCTGTGGAGTCTTAGGAGGTGAGCCCATAGGTTTGTAAAGGAGGCTGTCATTTGGGAGCAGTGACAACACTGCAGGGACCAAAAGGTCCAAATGGGTGGACTCACTATGGGGGTGCATGGCTCTGTATCAAAAAGGACAGGAAGGATGACCTAGTAGCTCGGGCACTGGACTGAAGCTCAGGAGACCTGCTTTCAATATGCGAGCTTGGACAAGTCACTTCATCTACTCTGTGCCTCAGTTCTGCATCTGTAAAATGGGGACAATACTTCCTAAGGTGATACGGTCCAGATAGTATGGGGCAAGCTGTAGGGCCCTGATCTAATAAAGCACTTAAGCAGGTGCTTAACTTTAGTCATGTGAGTTAGTCCCATTGATTTCAGTGGGACTACTCACATGCTTAAAGTTAAGTGCATGCTTAAGCACTTTGCTGATAAGAGCCTAAAAGGAGAGAAGTGATGGCAAAGCACTCCCGAAACATAAAGGGCTTGATACATCACTGAGCTACTCCAGTTTTACACTGGTGTTACTTCATTGACTTCAATGGAGTTACACGGGTATAAAACAGAAGTAAAAAGTAATGAATCAGGCCCAAAGACTTTGGACCAAAAATTAAAAGCTTACAAGAGTCATAGCCTGCAAGTAGAAGCAGTGGGGGAGGGGAGAGCCAGATGCTCCCCAACAAAAATTATGAGCCCAATTCTATATATTCTCACATCTCCCACTGGAGACAATGGGCATTGCATGTACTCATGTGAGGGAGGAGTTTGGCCCTACAGTCAGAAGCCGGGGGCTTCAAAGCTGTTTTTACTCGTTACCAAACAAATCTTGAGCTTTTCTTATTTGTTGCCATAGTTTCCAGGACTCATGGCACTGTAACAATTACACCGTGGTCTTGCCCAAAATTTACTCTAGCAAACGCTACTACCCCACTGAAAAGAAACCAAGGGGCCAAACTCGGGACCAGGCCCAGTGGATGCTATTCCACTGATTTTTAACAGAGTCTGGGTGTGGCCTGAAATTATTTCTTTCCTTTTGGTATCCAACACCCATTTTTTACTCTTGTGAATCTGGAACACCATCTGCTTTTCTCTTATATAATAACCCTTTCCACACCTTCATTGTTCAGTATAATAGACTTTGGTTTCATTCACTTTCAGTGTATTCATCTTATGTGTCTTCATTATAATTTTATCTTTTGTTACCTGGGGCATTTATTCTTTCAACATGCTTTCTTCTTTTCCAAAGGATTAATTTAAAAGGTTTGAATTATAAGCCTCTCTCTTTGGGCTTGGCTGACATGGGAATCTTTTAACAGGTATATTTAAACAAGATTTCCCAACCTTATCTTTACAATCTCAAACCAAGATCTATTGACACAGTGCAGCCAAGAGGATCTGAGCACCATCATTGCCAGGAGGCGTTGGAGATGGATCGGTCGTGTGCTTCGGATGGAAACTGATTCCATCACCAGAGTAGCAATAAGATGGACACCTGAAGGCAAGCGAAAACGAGGCCACCTGAAAACAACATGCCAAAGAGTTGTGAAAATCCTGGGGCACAGCTGGGGAACCATTGAAAGACTTGCCAGAAACAGACAGGCGTGGAGGAGCTGCGTCACTGCCCTAAACGCCAGAGGCGTAACAGGAACATGATGAGGATCTTAACAATAAACAGAAATTATTTTTTGATATTTTCTACTTGGTTATAAAAATAATTTTGTCACTTTCATCAGCCTAAGGAAAATACACCATTATCATCACAGGGTCATAATCAGCAATGGCTAGCAGGATTATAGACTGGGATAATGTGAAAGAGGAAGAGTGGGTTGGTGACTGAAACTGGGGAATGTCCAGGACTCAAGAATACCAAAACGTTACTCCTGGGAGAATTCTGCACCATCGCGCAAATGCACAATTAATGCCCCCACAGATTCCTCCCCTCCGCAGAATAATTGATTCTGACAGGGAGGCAAAGGGAAGCTGCAAGAGGGGTCATGCTGCAATTACATCTTTTGCACCAGGGGCTGATGTGGTTCCAGAAGCGAGGGCAGCCGCAGAGAGGGAGGGGTAGAAGCTGCCTTCCTCACAGCGTTCTGCCCATGGGCCCAGGTGAAGAGGCACAGGATATGGGGGGATGAACAGAGTGGGGCAAAACAGGCTGCTGGGGGGGTCACACAGACTGGGGTTCAGAAAGGCTAGTGCAGGGGACAGACTGGGACAAGGGCACAGAAGCTTCTGGGGTGACAACATTGAGCCAGGGACTGAATGGGGAGTGGGGATGCAAGGACACATGGGGACGGGGGGAAGAGGGAGTGCAGGGACACATGAGGATGGGGGGGGGAATCGGGGTGGCTGAGTGGGGATGCAGGGACACATGGGGACGGGGCAG